CCTCCCGTTGTTGTTGTTGTTGTTGTTGTTGTTGTTTTCTGACGGCTTCTTAGCCCATCATCCCCAGGGAACAAAGCGTTAGAGTGCGACTGCTCCTTACCTTTCTAGGTGTATCAGTTTTTCTACAAAACTCCTTGCCCTGTTTGGTCAACTTATAGTTTAGTCTTAAAACTTTCTTCTGCAATACCAAGCGGTAACCATCACCAGCTTGGTCATTTATTTAGCAAATAGAAGACATTTTCCATGTTTCTATCGAGTTACATAGAAACACGGAAGTTTGGGAGAACCACAAGAGAAATGCCGTGGAAACACGAGCCGATTGGCGAGTGTTTCCACAGCTTTTTTAAGTTCTTCCAAACTTCCACGAGTGTTTCTATAACTCGACTGAAATATATTCAAAATGTTGTCTTTGTCTTTTAGAACACAGAAAATAACGAACATTGTGACTAAGGCAACTTCTCTGTGTTTCTATCGAGTTTCTAATATAAATCCAGTAGCGTTCTATCACGAATGCCGTTCTCTGATTCAATCAATCAATCAATCGCTTTATTAAAGTTGTCACTACGCTTAGCTGCAAGCTAGTATTCAATAAGTTACTATTCAATACGTTACTCGCTATCTTTGGTTGTAGATAGCGAGTAGCCTTTTAGCAGAGTGCGGTTATTAACAAAATGACGCCGCGTCTTTGCGTTTTCGAAGTGTTCGTGAAGAGGATTTAGACAAAGTTTTGAAGGACTAGTCGAGATTTATACTAAAACAATTCGATTATTCGATTTCTATGCGTGATAGTTGACTCGCGGACTGTGCTCTCTCCAACTATCAAGCGATACAAATCTCAAGCTCATAATCTAACTTTTACACGTAAATAGAAACACGTTTTATCACCAGTCGCGCGTATTTTTTGGGGGCTATTTTCCAAAACTGGATGCTGTATTACCAGAATCGGTTCAGACACGATTTGTAGAAGCGAGCTCGAGCATGCTCAGTCAGTAAAAAGCAATTCTTGGAATTAGTGGAAGACATCAGTTAACTTGCAGCTGTTGTAGCGTGACGGCACGGTACTTTCCCTTCTTTAAGTTTCTATTTCAGTTTCCAATATGTGACCTCAGATAGTCTTTCAAGGTGAGATGCTTCTATAATGACGTCCTTTACAGTATGTTATGAGAAGGTAACAGCCCTTGGGGAACGTTTCCTCACTTTTTGTTTCTTTGAAAACTGACACTCGAGGGCAGATTCACATCATCTGTATATAAAATTTGACCTGTTTATCTCTGCGTGTCATAAAATTCCAAGAAAAAAATGAGGTTTTTATTTTAGCAGTTTCGTCATCGGGTGAATCATCCAATCAAAGGGCAAAAGAAAATTCTTAGAAAAACGGCATCGGTTTATTTCAATTTCAACATCTGCGTATTTTCAGTTTTTACAACAGAGGTACCGAGAGCCAAATACAATGAGCGAGGAAGAAGATCATCGCAAAGTTGTCTGTTTTCTACAGCCTAATTTTACTGACGTTCTCAAAAGCAAAGAAGCTGGCGAAAAACGGTTTATCGTGACAGAGTTTGACGACTGTGACACAATCCACGTTCGAGTTCAATGCCGTGATACTCCAAGTAAGCCAGAAGAGCGAGTCGCTTTCAAGGTCTTTGAAGAGCTGCCGCCTTGCTCAGAGATTCCAGAAATTGCTTCTAGTCTGATTTCCAGTCTTCCCGCTCTCGATGAGCCGCAGCTTGCAATCTTGGTTTCTGAAGACGACCATGTCAGAGCCTGTGTGCGACCGAAGTCGACTGAACCCCTAGAGCAAGCAGCTGTTCTGCGCCAACCCCGAAGATCCCAGCTGTACTCGCGCAGTCGTGGCATACTGGAGTCGAGTCTTTTGGAGGAACGAAAGGTTGCTGTGGTTGGTCTCGGAAGTGGCGGCTCCCATGTGGCAATAGAGCTAGCCAAGGCTGGAGTTGGCAAGTTTGTATTGGTCGACTTCGATCGAATTGAGCTGCACAACATCATCCGCCATATTTGTGGTTTAAGCGACCTGGGGCGTCTGAAGACCAATGTCATGCGAGATCGTATTCTGGACAAGAACCCATTTGCCGAGGTGGAGATTTTCAACACCAACATTAATAACTTAGACGACGCCAGAAGAATTCTCAAAGGATCTGACGTTGTCATTGCTGCGACCGACAACATCAGAAGTAGGCTCAATATCAACACACTTTCCATAGAGCTTGGAATACCCACCCTCTACGGCAAATGTGCCGTGAGAGCTGCAGGGGGAGAAGTGCTGCGGGTGAGACCAAAGGTGGGTCCATGCTTCTCTTGCATCTACGCTGATGCATCGATGGAAGCCAGTGCAGAAGAGATGTCCTCCTTCCGTCAAGCTCGTGAGGCTAATCCTCCTTACGTTGGAGACGATGAAGTTAAGGCTACAATTCAGGTCGGGCTGTCCTCGGACATCATACCCATCGCCAACATGCTGGTGAAGCTGGCCCTGGTGGAGCTCTGCCGTGGTAAGGATAGCGCCTTAGCGCCGCTGGAGAAGGATCTGGCGGCTCCCTATTACATGTGGGCCAATCGTAGAGAGCAGCAGTTTGCAGGTTACCCAGAAGATGGCTTTCATAGGTTCGACCGGCCAGGAATTCTGAGGTGGTATCCAATGATGAGCGAAAGAAAATCTGACTGCAAGACGTGCCAAGATATGGAAGCCAGTGCCGCAAATGTTGACTTTTTCTCTTCCCCAGAAAAGTAAACGTGCACGTCAGGAAAAGTATTCCGAATAGGAAGCATAAATCTCAGTGCAGGACGGTAGAATTAGTGATAATTCAATCTAGTTTATCAGAATTAACTCTCTGGGTACAACGCTCCATTCTATAGGTTGATCGTTACTCTGTAAAACCAAATAGTCTAATAGTTTTTAATGAATATTTAAACCGAGGCAGAGACGTTGACAGTGTTGATCAGTGATTGTAATTGACCTAGCAATAAAATAAATTTATCCTTTCCCAAAAGGCTCAGATTGTTGCCCCTTGTTTTATCATCTGCATTACTAGCGTGATGGCCGTTATTAATGTTCTAAATGTAATTGGTGATTTCGTGACCATTTAAAGCTGTAAACCGAACCGGAAGTGGCTTAGTCGGTTATTTCTCAGAAACAAATCACGCCATGGGATAGCAACTGACTTAATCATTCAGGTGAAAAGTGGAAATTTGCATATATATGCTTCGCCCCGCGATTTTATGACAAACTCT